TTTACATACAGCATTGCAATTATAATTCTATTAATAAACACTCAAAGACTTAAATAAGCACTTAGATAAATTACACCCACCGTAGGGTGTCCATTCTTAGAGACCCCAAGTTGTATGTCACACCCACCCAGTTCTGTGGGTGTCATGTAAGTATATCATTCGCTATTTTGTCCCCAAAGGGTAAAGCAGAGATACTTTTATGTCACTCATAACATAACACAAGGTTCTTTTAACGTAACAATTTGAGCAATTGTAATAGGAGACGAATTTATTACTAACCATTTCCAATATAAGTAAGCACCTACATATATTTCAATAAAGATGAAAAAAAATATTGTAATGTTTTTTTTAATGCATAAACTCAAAAATTACTGCACCAGGCGTAAAAGCGACCAAACGCATGCCTGACACCAAAAAAAAAATTAAATAAATAGAAAAAAGAAATATAAATTCATCTCTTACAGTACTCACGACAAGAAAAGAAGTGGCTACAAAAACTAGAAACCTTTCTATCTTCACATGGCAGGGCATAATGACAAGAGCAATGAACATAACAGACACGACGGAAAATGTAATCCAACATGCACTTGCGGAACTGTCTTCAAAACTTTGACCATGACGGTATTGTTATGACGAATGCATTCTACTTGTTATGCATGAGACTGGTGATTCTAAGTGAGAGGTATATCAATCATGTGTTGACATGAAGAATAGTGACATTTAAATTTTGTCATAGTTTGGAGAAATGGATGTAGTAGTGTGACGATGGTTTTGCTTATCGGAAATGCCAGTCTTAAAAGCGAATTAGATGCTTGAACTTTTTCGTTAACAAAAAAACCGACTTCAAAAACAAAAAAGTGTCAAATAATTAAAATAGATATTTTAATACCACTCTTACGTACGCGAAGCTAATACTTTTAATATTAATAATAAAACACTATCAATTCTATGTGCTACCTATTCATAGGTTTGAAGTCGATGGAGACCCAGGATTCCATCATCAGATCCTGACCTCATGACAATGGGACCAACGGCAAGTATACACTATCAAATAAAAAAAGAATTTTGCAAATCGGTCCAGGCGTCTTCGAGTAATCGGTGTACATGCATAAGAACAAAAAAATACTCGTCGAATTGAGAACCTCCTCCTTTTTTGAAGTCGGTTAAAAACATGCGACTTTTTTATCTTGTCCGCCACCACTACTCTTGTTCTCATAAACATTTGTTTGTTTTAATGGTGATTGAATTTCGCGGTAAAAACACTCGACGTGGCTTCGATGAAATGTCGTCACACCACCATTTTGCTCTGTGCAGCAACTGTGGCATGTGACGAACCCTTAAGCCGATCTCGTTGACAAGCGTATCGAAACGTCACGACATGATTTGGCTTAACAATTTTAAACCTTCTGTTTTAATAAGCACTGAATAAAAATATTATTGATTTCGTTTTGTTGCAAAAATCAATCAAGAAATAAAGAACCACATAAGGTCTGGACAAACGAAACACCTACCAGAAATGATTTTCAAAATGCAGCTACAAAACACAAACTACCACAAAATCTGTGTGTACAAGACGCAGGTTACACCGTTACCTCTTACAAAGACATTAGACAACTTAGAATATTGTGTTTCTAAACTTCCATAATTGTGTCCACATGAACAAGGCAGTAATGGGATTGCTTTGTGCTAACTTAGTTAAGGATCTTCTTATTTGCCTTTGTACCACAATATGTTAGTCATCGGACCTTTAAATTTAATTGTAAAGTGTTTACAAGGTTCAATTACGTACGAATAATGTATGGATTCCTTGGTAGTTGTTTATATTTTTTATGTAGAAAAAAACTAATTATTTACACATATCATTGTTTCATAAGTGGAACGAGGAGTGTCAGACTTTTACTGACTAAATACAACCTCGTTCCTTCCCCACTCCTGGCCAACCAGTTATACAGTAGGTACAGTACAGTAAGCATGTCCAGCATAGCATACTATTTGAAATCTTAAAATTAAAAAAATAGGTAAATAGTAAGCTGTTTAACGAAATTTTATTTTAAAACTTAAAATTAACAGTGTTCACTCATATATCTCTTTTCACACGAAAAATGTTTCAACATTCATCGCTAAGCTTGCTAAAGGTGGATTGCCAATTTTTAAACTTTAATAAGCAATTATGGAGATATTTAAGATACATCAAAAGAAAGTATTTCCATCGAAAACTCTTTAATCCCATTGATGCTATTGGCATTCGGAAATAAGTTAATGTTTAAGAAGTTCAAGGAAAACATTAAAAAAAACTAGAGAGTGGGTACACATCACTTTCTTTCTTTCTTTGAATGAATGTAATGCCCAATCTTTCTATTAAACTGAATTATTTACTAAAGCACATATTTATATTGAGAAAACTTCTTTTAATACCTTGGTATAACGAAAAACAGGCTTCGTTTCTGCGAATTTTCATCTATTAAGTTTTCTTTAAGTATATTGAGACACAGTTAAATAGACATGTTGTATGACATTTACTATTTTTTCTAACATCAAACTGTAAAAGCATTTTCTTTTGAATGTTCAAAAATTTCCTAACACCTATTTTTACAAAATCAAGCAGAACAATAAAAAAATGATATTTTATTACTCACACTAATTTTAGATTATTATGCAATGATTAAATTATTACAATTCTAATTTTGTTTATACCTAATATTCCAAGCAAGCTGCATGGATGGAAACAGATTCCAAACAAGCACACGTAATAATAGAGAAAACAAATGAAATCCTTCAATAAATTATAGCTCAAGGTCTTAAACTGTGAGTAACAAACTACTGCCTCATATAGCTACAAGAACCAAGATGGCTACTGCTAAACTCCAAAGAGGAAGCAAACTGTAATTTACTAACAAAGACCTTATCCACCATGTCTGCACACATCAAGATACGTTGAACCAGTATACATTGACCGTTAAAAATTCGGAAACATCACACAAAGCGCGACCATGATAAAGTGGTTATATATAATGGTGCCTAGCCGTATGTAAATACCAATGCTTCGTAAGCAATTTTCTCCCAACATCATGGCCAATCTTCCCCATTGCAATCCCATGCAATGTCACGCCCTTTGCTAACAGAAAATCACCTCAAGCAACAAAGGGAAATTCGTCAGTGACAAAATTGGTTCTGCGGTTAAATCTATTTTAGAGTCAAAGGAGTAAGATTGAATTTTGAGTGGCTAGTGCGGAGATTTGTTTTGGCTGTAACCGATACAGGTGGATGTTAATTGGTAGACATTAAAAACTTCTTAAATAGACGTTTTTATGTCCATATTTTGACCGAAAACAGCAGCGTTTAAACGAACCAAGTTTTATAGAACTATTTTAGTTAGTTAACAAAATTATATTTTGGTGTATACTCATTTTAAAAATAAAGCGTGCCGAGTGTATTGCTTTATCCAATTAAGGAATGAAACTAAAACGTACTAACTATTCTTTTCATATTTTGACTTATACCTACAAGAATAACAAACTACGGTTGCATCTAACGAGCTTCATGTTTGTTACAATGTGTACCGGATCAACCCCAGAATTTAAGAGGTTATTTTTTCATATAATTTCATAACTAACCAAAATCTAAAAAACTATTATTAATTTCGTAATTAAAATACACCAGAAGCTAAATTCTAAATTCAAAGAAATGTCATACTGATATCAGAACTATCGTGTTAAAAGGCAATGAAATGTAAATTCAAAGAATAGCGTTTCTAGGAATTCAAGATACGCCTTTGGAGTCTACTTAATAATAGGGTTAGAAGACCAATGAGATCAATATCAACGTGAGTTAGCAAGAACTCTTCTATACGTGGCGTAAAAGCCAATATCAATTTTAAAAATCTTACAAAAGATGACAAACTGCGATAGCTCACAATCTTCTTTTAATATTTTAAGTGTGGTGGAAGCATTAAAGTGTGTGACGCAAATAGTTTTTCTACTAAACCCTCGAAATGTTAGAGTGAACAAAAATAGAGTATAGATCACAGGATTTTTTTAAGTGCAGATTATAACTTTGGTCAAAAAGCTATAGGTAAATTTAGAAGCAATCTGGAACCGGTAGCTAGTTAAAGTGAAAATAAATCAAATTATACAAGAAGTAATTTTAGGAACTACTCCTTAATCCAATCTTCAAAAAGTTTAAAATTAATCAGATAGTCCTTTTGTTCAAACAGTTGCTATTTTAGAATTGATAAACGACACTGGTAAAGTTCAAAATGAACTAATGATTGATTGTAGTATATAATTAATGAAAATGAGTTTTGTCCAAGGGATTAAAGTTGAATAAAGCAACAGTTGTAAGGAAGCTACTTTATACAGAAAGTTTGTAAAGAAACTTTTTCGATTTCACTCTCCTCGCATCGTGGACACCGTTCAAGGTGAAGTTAAACTAAGTAAAACTTATTTTGTTTAAAGTGAATTGAAGTTTTACGAGTTTTATAAATATAGAACTTTTATGTTTTTCTACTTTACGAACGAACCCTTGTCACACACGTTATTCATTCAAAATTCATAAACTTTAAAATACATACTATAAATAATTCTAATTATACGTACGTTAAAACACCTTCCTTTACCTGTTTCAATTGTTTTCACTCCAAATGCTCCATCACCCACCATTGTGAAATTCTCAGTAGTTAGTTTTCCATTTCCATTCGCTGGTTACCGAACGTCTACTTCTACAGACGAGACCATTTCAAAATGAAGCCAAATATGGAATTGACACTGCATCACTCGAATTTTTTAAATACTTTTTATCTTCATCGACCCATTTCTTTTTAGCTTCATAATTAATCTAATTCTTAAAACCGATGTTATGAAAATTGTCACTGTTCAAACAACTCTGTTGTAAAACTGACTTTTTATTTTCATTTGAATCATTTTCTTCAAGTCATCCTATATCTGCTTCATATTCGAAATGATCTTCAGTAAGAAGGAAAGCTTTCTTAGCAACCAACGTACCTTGGTCTAGCAGCCTGAGTATAGTAGCGGTCCAGTTCTTGCAGCATACGGAGAGCATCAGCCATGTCATGAGGACCTTCCTCCCTGGCCTCTGCCAGGCAGACCAGAGCCAAAACCACGGCGACGGCGATAGCAATGTTCTTGTTCAGCATTTTGAAGTTGATGAGGATCTAAAATGAAAAGTTGATTGTTAAAAGAATCCTGTAGAATGAATAGAATGTGTTGTAGGTCTACTGGGCTTTGTAAGAATACGAGTATTTTTGGATAGGGAAAAGACTGAAATGTCTAATAATTAAACTTTTGTCTTCAAGGATGGCCAAATATTAATAACAGTTTTTCAAGGCAAACAAAGTTCCTACACTTATTATTTAAAATTAAATAACTTATGAAGGTCATACAAAATTACATAATAAATCAATTACTTCGACCTTACCAAATTTTATCAATTTCTAGTCCCTAAAGAATTTCGTAAGCAGGACTAAGAAGAAAACTTTATCCTTAATACATACTCGTAATTTATACAATATTACCTTTTGAAACTGTATATAATTTATGTGTGTATCACAATAGGTTTTAGAAACGAAAGTTTAATGTTTTAGTAACAAAATTATTTTCAAATAAAACAACCTCAGCGTTATACATATTTTGAAATGTGAGTGAGATTACCCCATCCCTACAAAATGCCTTAATCTCCGAAATCCCTATCCTCAAAAAGCCGATAATGCTCTCGTAACTTTTCTGGTGTCACGAGTGCCCATGGGTGGCGCCGAATGCTTACCATCAGGAAATCCGTCTGCAAGTTTACCGACCTATCGGCTTACAAAACTATTGACAATGTCAAAGCTTGTACAAGCTTGTTAAAATATAAATCACCTAAAACATAAAGTTCAAAATCCGATAACGTCAACCAATAAAGACTAGAAACTATCAAACTAAAAGTTCTAAAATCGACAGAGGAAGCAACCTCATCATATTCGTTTTCCACCGGGATAAGCAAGTGACGTTGAGTTATTCCGACAAATCTTATTGGGACCAAAACCCTATGACAAAGTTTTGACTATAAATTTATTATTGTACCCTCAAGTTAATAAATGATGTGAAATATATCACATTAGACTTTTGTTCTAAAATCTCAGGAGACGCTGGATGTCACACATAATGTAAACGAAGAGTACACCTACATTTTGTCTGAATCTCATCAACGTGGAATAAGTTTTCACCAAAGTGACGGGTAAATATACGGCCTACGGAACGCTTACACAACGCCAGAGAACACACACAGAAGAGTTACGAGAGCGTTGCCGGCATTTTGGGGATGAGAGTTTTAGAGATTTAGGGATTGGGGGAGGGAAAGTATTGGGCCTCCGGTAACCTTACCCAATACCCTCAGGGCGAAACACAACGCTGTAAATGTTTCACGCTGATTCTGAGGCTGGGGTATTACTCCAGTTGACCCATTTATTTTTTATTATCTTTGGCTATTGAATGGCGGATAAGTAGATTTCCAGGATAAGATGACGAACATCATTTTAAACTAGGATTTGAGCGCACGGACAATTTACATTTATATTACAAAATACCTATTATAACTACATTTACTAATCAACATGTACCATATTTTGACGAAGAATAAAGTACCGAACATTTCACAAATTAGGTAAGTAGGTATATTTGGAAAGTGTCAATATCAATTATTGACAAAATAAAATTATGAATTTATCGACGCATTTAAGGCCTCTAAGGCAGATGATATTTTATTATTTTCAACAAAAAATACTGAGAAGCCACTGGAAAGAAATACAAGGCTGCATTCTCGCGGGGCAGATCGTCTTGAATAAAGAATGAAGGGGACGGTAAATACACCTCTGGTAGAACCCTTAGAAGACAAGTGATGTAAACGTGTACGTTTGCTTAACATAAAGACGATTCTTTGAAGGGGTAAATAGAAAACGCCTGGCTTTATTATAACACAAACAACAAATTAGAATCAGAATCTTCAGAATAATAACCATTGTGTTTATACAAAATTTTGCATCGCAGCGACGTCGCGCAACGGCCCTCTCATGAATAACAGTCCCGGTATGACTTGAAACTAGTAGAGCTTTTCTTAAGTTCAGGTTTGTTCGGTTTTTCTTTTCAATAAAAAATACTATGTATTTCAATTTACAAAATATACAAGTACCTAAGTATTATAATATGCAATTAAATCGTTTTAAATCCGGTTCAGGTACAAGGTTCAAGTCGAGATGTCTTGCTATCGCCTAAATAATCATATGAAAAAGACACAAAAAGAGAGCCTGCAAATATTTGCAAGTGGACTTGTTCGTATATTGTGATATCCTCTGCGATTGGCGCTTGCAATTGCGTTAAAGCAATAGCAGGGTTTAACACATTCAGTGCCCCCGACGCGTATGTGCGTTTCCTCGCACGCACATACGCGTCGGGGGCACTGAATGTGTTAAAGCGATAGCTCGACTTATTCAAGTATAATTTATAGCTTATTGCACTGAGGAACCTTGTTATTATCGACCAGTGAAAGAATTTTGGATATCCGACCAGCAGTTCCAAAGTTCCCCCTACATTAAAAATCCAAAATTTTACATCTTTTCATACTGTTCGTACTTAAAGAAAAGTAGAAGCAAAATCTCATCAGCCTATCTTCCATATATTTGTTCATCTATCTGACAAACACTGGAAATGCACTTTTCATTGAATTATGCAGTCTTTCAAAGTTGAATGCGAATATTTGCCGTCCTCCTCTTAAACCTTTTTATAGAAAGAGCCACTAAAATATTCAATTACTCTGGCTTGAGCTATAAGCAATATTTGTCCGGTTAAAAAATGGAAAAGGAATATTGGATTGCCTGTGTATTTGTCTTTCCAGATTAATGCGAGTTGCCATAATGTTATTTTGCAAAGAAAAATATAAATTGTGTTTTAGATTTTGATTTATGACCACAATAATTGTGGTGATTTGATTTGCAAATTATGATTGATTTCATTATTATGTTTTCGGCTTACCTATGAATTGCACACACGCGACTCGTGCTCATGAATATGGGCCTCTAGCATCGCTTGAAACTAGTCGAGTATCTCGTCAAATTATTACGTGAGTAAGCCGAAGATAATAATTAATTTATAATGTCTTACGAAAGTTATAATAAAAATGATTGATTTTTTAAAAACGGCTTAGTCGCGTGAGCTAATTGAGAAAACCTCGACTAGTTTCAAGTCACAGCGGGACTCTTCATGAGCAGCGTGCGTGACGCGAGATATAGAGAGTGATAGAGCTATTCTCATTCTCATTCACGTGAGTAAGATATTATTTTCAATAAGTTTAGTATGTCTCACGATAGTTACTATTAAAATTGTTTTTTTTTTCGTTTCAATGCTTTAGTTACACTGCTTTTTATTACTATCTTCTCAATTCAAAACTTAAGTCTGGAAAAAAGACTACGGTTATTATCTAAATACAAACTTTTACAATATCGAAATTAAACACAAAACCTTCTTGCTTGTACAAAATAATAATCAAAACTAATATTATAAATGCGAAATTAACTCTGTCTATCTGTCTTTTCTTCACGCCTAAACTACTGAACCTATTTGTGTTAAATTTGGTACAGACATTAAAAGTCAAAAACTCAAAAATCATTTATTCCAATTAGACCCTTACAGGCACTTTTGAACGTCAAACAAAATTTTGAAGATATAGTGTCAGTCTGTCGGCCAGTCCTCTTAGTGAACCTATTACATATACATAGTTTGAAACTCGAGAAAGGACGTAGGATAGTTTTTAAAACAAAAAACTGCAGGAAGTCACTATTCCACGCGAGCCAAGTCGCGGGCAAAAGCTAGTACAAAACAAAGTATTGTCCCATTATTATTAAATATTAATTCAACTGAATTAATAATTCAAACCCACACAAAAAGTAATATGATTCAGAAAAACGAAATTTACCTCATTATCAACTTTTCGAGTAAACAAAAGATAATCTTCAAGTTTTGGTTATTTCGACGAAAAAATAATGGAAACAAGGAAAATTAGTACAAATGGGATATACGTCCTTATCAATATGTTAATAAGTTATAAAGTTGTATAATTTTATTAATCTTCGACAGTTGACTGCACAGTTGACGGGGTTTTTTTGTCAGTGGAAAATCATCAAATGACTTCTCCCGCCCAGGGTGAGGCGAGAGATGTCAGACTGTTACTGGCTAAAAACCCCTCAGTTCCTTCTCCTGTCGAGGCTGCGATGCCTCATTGCGCTTACCCCGCAACCCCGGCTAAACATCAGCTACAGATATAGGGCCCCGTCTGTAGTGGTCTATTGGCTTTTTGAGGCGTGCGTGGAACGCTACGCGCCGTACGCTCGGGTCAGTTTCTGGTTGGGCGGGGTGAAACAATGAAACAATGCATTTATTTTTGCAAAAAGGCCATAAAACGGCACTTTTACACGTCAAATTATATGTGAAAAACTAGATGAAGCCGGTATTTCCTATCTGACTACTCTGAGAAGAAATGCCGAAACAAACTCAGAGGTCAGTCTCTTTTCAAGTCCAGACAATGTAAAATAACATAATGTGAGAGAACCGTGCAAGTTCAATCTGTAGTGGTCTTTTGAGGAAAGAACCACACCAGTTTAAGTGGACCCGCGATGTCCGAAGTAGACGTGATGCGTTGTTGCCAGTTCAAAAAAATAACTTAAATATTTTAGTTATGTAAGTAAAATCCTATGTAAAAAGGGTAAAAGAAAGTCCATGGCCATATACCAAACATAAATAACAGACCGTGTTCTTGCTGAAAAAAATCCGAATAACCGTAAACACCTGAATAGCACCTTCTTCGAATGACCTTGGAATCGCATACAAGACCTCTTGATCTACAGGCGCATTTGTTACAACTCGACTAACTAAGCATTAGGATTAAGAGCCAAGGACACTGAGTATTGCTCATAAATAAAATAAAAAATAAATTATCAGTCCTACTTTATTATTTAGAACAGTATTTTTTTGCACTTATCATTAAGTATTTATCATAGTTTTCGAGAATTTAAAACCCCAAACACCTCAATAAACAATTCAAGCATCCACTATCCATTTCAAAACTCTCCGATACTCAACAAAACATTGAAAGTTTCCCCGAAATTACTAAACAATGCACTCAAGA